TATTTATTTATTCTAGTTTTAACCTTTAGTTCACTTTGATTTTGTTAATACAGGATTTTCTATTGAATGCGAAGAAGTAGAAGCGCAAACAATCTCCTTCCTCTCGATCCCGAAATTGAACGAACACTTCACAGATTGAGGAGGGAGGTGGACGCCAGAACCAGAATTGAAAGAGAGTTGGACATCGTAGTTCAACCACAGCCAATTGAGATGGCGGGTAATAAGGAACGCGCGATGATTGAAGCCGCAAGGCCCAGTCTGGCTAATATGAATCAGGCTATCGTGAAGCCTGATATCACTGGGCACTTTGAGCTGAAACAATACATGGTGCAGCTGATCCAGTCCACAAGGCAATTTGTGGGCCTACCTCATGAAGACTCGCAGAGGCATATTCAGAATTTTTTAGAAATTACGGATACTTACAACTATCCGAACGTTTCCAAGGACTATGTCAGGCTGACACTTTTCCCCTTTTCTCTGCTCGGGGAAGCTAAGGAGTGGTTGAATAAGGAGCCAGCTAATTCAATCCGCACTTGGGATAATTTGGCAAGGAAATTCTTAATCATGTTTTTCCCCACCGAGAAAACAAAGATGTTGAGGAGTCAAATTCTTGGGTTCGAACAACGAGCTGGCGAGACACTTCGTCAAGCATGGGAAAGGTACAAGAAGTTGCTCAGAGACTGTCCTCACCATTGCCAGACGGACGAGGTATTGGGTCACACTTTTGTAGATGGGCTAGATGATGCTTCAAAGATGAATCTAGATTCAGCTGGTGGGGGTAGCTGCATGGCCAAACCGTACAGTGAAATCCAACTCTTGCTGAATACCTTCACTGCTAATGATAATAACTGGCAAGGTGATGGTGACTCTCGAAAGGCAGTTAAGCAAAAATCAGCTGGGTTACTTGAGCTCGATGAGGTGTCAGCAATGAGAGCCGAAATTGCAAAGCTGGCCAATCAGATGACTAGGATAACAATGCAGCAGCCACAACCAATGCAACAGGTACAACAGATGACTATTTGCTGCGAACTGTGTGGTGACAGTCATATGAGTGATATGTGCCCCACGAATCCAGAATCCATCTATTATGTGGGGCAACAAAACAGGGGTCCACCGAACCAGCATGCACAATACGGGAATTCTTACAATCCAAATTGGAGGAATCATCCCAACTTCTCATGGGGTGGAAATCAGCAGAATCAGAATCAGTATAGACCCCAAGGGGGTTTCAATCAGCCTCAGAGACCACCCCAACAAATGGAAGAGAGCACAAATGATTTACTAAAGAAGTTGTTGATTGACAATCAGCAGCTCAGGACCGACTTCAGAAATCTTGAGAGGCAGATGGGGCAGTTAGCAACAAATCAAAACACTAGACCTGCAGGCGCTCTCCCCAGTGACACAGAAAAGAATCCGCAAGTGAATGCAGTTACACTTAGAAACGGGAGGGAGCTTGAGGAAGTGCCAAAGAAAAAGAAAGATAAGTCCGTACCTGAGGGGGAGTTGATCCCTAAAGTGACAAACGAGCCAGAGAAGACTGCTGAAATTCCAGAGCCAGTGGAGGCCCCAAGGCCACCACCACCTTTTCCCTAGAGATTGCAGAAAAAGAATGATGATCGCATGTTCAGCAAATTTCTCTCCATGTTGAGCCAGGTGCAATTGAATATTCCACTTGTTGATGTGCTTCGTGAAATTCCAAAGTATGCTAAGTACATAAAAGATATAGTGGCTCACAAGAGAAGATTAACTGAATTTGAGACAGTTGCACTTACTGAGGAGTGCACTTCTAGGGTCCAAAATAAGCTCCCTCAAAAGCTTAAAGATCCTGGCAGCTTTACGATTCCTGTGCGCATTGGTAATATTGATGTGGGTCGTGCTCTTTGTGATTTGGGGGCAAGCATAAATTTGATGCCCCTATCGTTGTTCAGGCAATTGGGTCTGGGAACTCCAAGGCCAACTACTGTGATGTTGCAGCTGGCTGACAGATCGATAGCACACCATGAGGGGGTGATTGAAGATGTGTTGCTGCAAATTGGGAAATTTATCTTCCCTGCTGATTTCATTATCCTCGATTATGAGGCTGATGAACTGGTCCCAATCATATTGGGGCGACCTCTCTTGGCTACTGGTGACGCAATTATCAAAGTGAGAGAGGGAAAGATGATCTTGAGGGTAGATGACGAGGAAGCAGTTTTCAATGTCTACAAAGCAATCCAACTTCCCCGTCACTATGAGGAGCTTTCCATGATATCTGTTGTTGAGGCTGATGAGCAAATTCGTGATCCAAGTGTATATCTAGACGATTCTCTAGAGAAAGCACTTATGTTGTTTGATATCCTGGGGAATGATGAAGAGGTCGAGGAGATGAAGCACATCCTTGATACATCTTGTGCATACATGCAGGGGATACACCCATTTGAACCCTTGAACAGGCCAGAGGGACCTCCTCCAAAGCCGTCAATTGAGGAAGCCCCGAACTTGGAGCTTAAACCTCTCCCATCTCACCTGCAATATGCTTATTTGGGAGACTTTGACACTTTACCTGTTATTGTTTCCTCTGACTTGTCTAAATTGCAGGAAGAAAAGCTGTTGAGAGTGCTACGTGAACACAAGCGAGCAATTGGATGGACGATGTCTGACATAAAGGGCATTAGTCCAGCCTTTTGCATGCACAAAATCCTCATGGAGGACGGACACAAGCCCAGTGTAGAGCAACAACGACGAATCAATCCAATCATGAAAGAGGTGGTAAGAAAAGAAGTGATTGAGTGGCTTGATGCAGGTATTGTATTTCCTATCTCAGACAGTAAATGGGTAAGTCCCGTCCAATGTGTACCCAAGAAAGGGGGGATGATTGTAGTAGTTAATGAGAATAATGACTTAATCCCTACAAGAACTGTCACCGGGTGGAGAATTTGCATTGACCATAGAAAATTGAACAATGCCACCCGGAAGGACCACTTCCCCCTCCCCTTTATTGACCAAATGCTTGATAGATTAGCTGGCAAGGAGTACTACTGCTTCTTGGATGGTTATTCTGGGTATAATCATATTTCTATAGCCCTAGAGGACCAAGAGAAGACCATTTTTACGTGTCCTTATGGGACATACGCGTTCAAGAGAATGCCCTTTGGTCTTTGTAATGCACCTGCGACTTTTCAAATGTGTATGATGGCCATTTTTACTGACATGGTCGAGAGGTTTGTGGAAGTATTCATGGATGATTTTTCTGTGTTGGATGCTCTTTTGATAACTGCTTGATGAATCTTGATAAAGTGCTTGCTAGGTGTGAAGAGACTAACTTGGTGCTAAACTGGGAAAAATGCCATTTCATGGTACGCGAAGGCATAGTTTTGGGGCACAAGGTGTCCAAAGATGGTTTGCAGGTGGACAAGGCAAAGGTGGAAGCGATTGAAAAATTGCCTCTACCGATATCTGTCAAAGGCATTCATAGTTTCTTGGGCCATGCAGGTTTTTATCGTCGTTTCATTAAAGATATCTCGAAAATTTCCTCTCCCTTGTGCAGGTTACTTGAGAAGGATGTCGCCTTTAAATTTGATGATGCTTGTCTGAAGGCATTCAAGGAGCTGAAGGCAAGGTTGGTGACTGCACCAATCATCATTGCTCCGGATTGGGAGCAGCCATTTGAGTTGATGTGCGACGTGAGTGACTTGGCTATTGGAGATGTTTTGGGGCAAAGGAGAAACAAAGTCTTCCACTCCATCTACTATGCAAGCAAAACTTTGAATCCAGCTCAAATGAACTACACAGTCACTGAAAAAGAGATGCTTGCAGTGGTGTGGGCGTTTGACAAGTTCAGGTCATATCTTGTGGGGACCAAAGTCATCGTCTACACAGATCATTCAGCTATCAGATACCCGTTTGAAAAGAAGGACGCCAAGCCGAGACTGATTCGGTGGGTCCTACTCTTGCAAGAGTTTGATTTAGAGATCCGAGATCGCAAAGGAACAGAGAATCAAGTGGCTGATCACTTGTCCATATTAGAAAATCGGAATCATGTAGCTGAAGGGGGTGTAATCAAAGAAACATTCCCTGATGAGCAGTTATTGGTGATTGCCTCAAGCATAGCCCCGTGGCATGCAGATTATGTGAATTTTATTGCAAGTGGAGTGACACCACCAGAATTGACACCAGACAATAGAAGAAGGTTCTTGCATGACGTGAGGCTCTACATGTGGGATGAGCCATTCTTATACAGGCTCTGTGCAGATCAGTTGGTGCGAAGATGTGTTCCTGAGGAGGAAATGAGTGCCATACTTCATAGCTGTCAAGCATCACCATACGGAGGTCATCACGGGGGAGACCGGACTGCCCAGAAAGTGTTACAATCAGGTTTCTATTGGTCAAAATTGTTTAGGGATGCACACGCCTTTGTTAAAATGTGTGATAGGTGCCAAAGAACCGGAACGATCACAAAGAGGCACGAGATGCCGTTGCAAAACATTCTAGTAGTGGAGCTCTTTGATGTGTGGGGAATAGATTTCATGGGACCGTTTCCACAATCTAACGGTCATAGGTACATCTTGGTGGCAATCGACTATGTTTCCAAGTGGGTGGAGGCCATTGCTCTTCCCACTAATGATGCAAAGGTGGTTGTGAGCTTTGTCAAGAAGCACATCTTTACACGCTTTGAAACTCCAAGAGTATTGATCAGCGATGGAGGAACACATTTTTGCAACAAATTGCTGAATAATGTCCTTGCAAAGTATGGAGTCAAGCACAAGGTGTCCACTGCCTATCACCCCTAGACGAGTAGTCAAGTGGAGGTGTCAAACAGAGAGGTAAAGCAGATTCTTGAGAAAACAGTGAGTGCAAATAGAAAAGATTGGGCCGGGAAGCTAGACGACGCATTGTGGGCATATCGAACTGCATACAAAACTCCCATAGGTGCTTCTCCGTATAAAGTGGTTTATGGGAAGGCATGTCACTTGCCCGTCGAACTTGAGCACAAGGCCTATTAGGCGATTAAAAAGCTGAATATGGATGGGGACCTAGCTGGAGAGAAGAGGTTGCTGCAACTCGATGAGCTTGATGAGTTTCGATTGCACGCGTATGAGAATGCCAAATTGTATAAAGAGAAGACTAAGAGGTGGCATGACAAGCACATTCAACGTCGAGAGTTCGAGCCAGGGCAAGAAGTTCTTTTGTTCAATTCGAGGTTGAAGCTTTTCCCCGGAAAGCTAAAATCTCGTTGGTCAGGCCCTTTTGTTGTAGTAAGTGTGAAACATCATGGAGCTGTGGAATTGCGAGATATGAGTTCAACTGGTACCTTTTTGGTGAATGGTCAAAGGATAAAACATTACTGGGGTGGTGACTTTGCACGTCACAAGACCTCGGTGGACTTGATGGATGCTTGAGAACGTGTTGAGTCGTGCCGCGACGTTAAATCAGGCGGTGGATGGGAGGCAACCCATTGCATTGTTGTAACCGTCGTGCCGCGACGTTAAATTAGGCGCTTCATGGGAGGCAACCCATGATAGTAGAATTTCTAACATGTTGTATATATGCATGTTAGTGCGGAGGATGTTGCATCACGAGCATGGACATATCATGGGTAAGGTAGGCATTAAAAGAGGTAAAAATAGTGCCTAAGGGGCAAAACAATGAACAGAACCCCAACAATAGGCCGCCACTAACGGGTCCACCGCGGTCGCGGCGTAACCGCAATAGGACCGCGGTCGTGACCCCTCTCTAAAGTTATCCCACCGCGGTCGCGGCGTAACCGCGGTAGGACCGCGGTCGTGACCCCTCTCTGAAGTTATCCCACCGCGGTCACAGCGTAACCGCGCAAGACCGCGGTGGACCAGAACGGGCCCAGGTATGAAAACGCAGAAACTTTTTATTTTTTTCTTTTCTTTTTCTCCCTTTCATTAATCTAACCTAAACTAACCCTCCCCAACCAAAACATCCGCCCCCCTTTCCCTATTCTCTCTATTCTCTCTATCTTCTCTCATCCTTTCCCCCACTCTTCTCCTCCCTTCTTCTTCCCCAACTCTTTTCCCCCATTTTTTTCCTTCTTCTTCTTCTTCCCAACAACCTACTCTCTCTTCTTTCTTCTTCTTCCCATAACCCAAAACCCCCATTACCCCTTCTTCTTACCCCCTTCTCCATCCAAACCCTACCCACCCACAAACCACCCCCCAAAAAAAATGCCCCACCCCCCTACCCAGCCACAACCCCCAAATTTTTTTCCTTTTCTTTTCTTTTTCAAGACTGCGCGGTAATCCTCAAGTAAGTTGTTCTACTTTTTCTTATGTTGTATGTATTTTGCATTATGTAGTGATTATTGTAGATAATTCTTGATTTTGGTTGCAATGGGGTTTTAGACTCCAAGTTTGGTGTTGTAGTTGGTGTTTGGGGTTGATTTGTATAGGTGTGGGGTGTATTTCTAGTTGATAATTTGTGTGTGTGGGTGGGTGGTGGTAGCATTTAACTGCATGTATTGATGGAAGCTTGTGGTGGGGTTTTATAGGGCGAAATTGTATCGTTGATGAGTGGTGTGGGGACAATAGTGGATGTTGTCCACTTTGGATAATTGTTTGGTGCCAGCGGGTGGAGAAGTCTGAGTATCCATCCGATTGGCACATGTGTGGCTGGCCCTGATTGTTATGATGAATTGATTTCAGGTACGATGGCCAGAAAGAAGCGAAGAAACTCGGAAAGCACTTCCGACGCCCCGACTTATGATGCCACCCGGTTCACATCCGAGGAGGCCCAGGACAGGTTTCATGCGAAGGCCGCCAAAAACTTTGTCCCGGAAATTGGTATTGATAGGGTTGCCCTCCGTGTCGAAAAAGCAGACATGTACGAGGAAATCTGCCGGAGGGGGATGGAGTACTTGTTTGACGAACCTGATACGGCAAACCCAATGATAGTCCGGGAGTTCTACGCGAACTGCCCGGAATATATGTGCCGTTCTGTGATTGTGCGAGGCAAAGTGGTAGATGCCTCAGTACATAGAATTCGCCAGGTCCTGCAGCTGCCCCCCTTCACAGGTGACATTGATTATTACCACAATTCTCTAGGGGTCGATTGGGACACTCTGATTGAGTCCATATGCTCAGGGGGTCGGCCAGTATGGATACACGAAAACATGACCTTGCATTCCAAGTCATTCACATGGGAAGCTAAGTGCTGGTTCACTATGATTTGTAGCAGGTTATTGCCCACGAGCAACACAACAGATGTGAACAGCTTGCGGGCTTTATTGGTTTGGTGCTTCGTGACCAGGAAGGACGTGGATGTTGCTAAAATCATTGGAGATGAAATGATCCTCCGGTCACCGCTGATAACTTAGGGGTTTTATTTCCCCTCCCTGGTGACCAGGTTATGTCTGCTGGCTGATGTCCCAGTCGGTCCTACGGATGGCACTCTGGCCCCAAAAACAGCTTTCAAAGCTTCCAAGATCAAAGTGGGCAGAGATGCACCCACGCCCATTGACCTGGACGACGATGATGACGACCCAGCACCCATGGCACCACCCAGGAGGTCTTATGATGCAGCTGGACCCTCACGGCAACCCCAAACTGGGGCGGAGTTCTCTAGAACATACTCCAGGCGACCCTTGTTGACTTCTGTGGAGGAAGACGTGGCAGAACTTCGCACCTCTGTGGATAGCCTGCATGTTCGTTTGGATGCCATGTCTAGACGGCAGGCCAGGTCTGAGAGCCGGGTGATGGCTTGGTTCCGTGCTCTAGGGAGGGCCTGTCACATTGATCCCAACACCGTCTCTGATTCCGAATGATGACCAGGGAAGTCCTCTTACCCTTCTGTGCTTTAAATTGTTTTATGACATGAGGACATGCCATACTCTTTGTGTGTGGGGTGGGAGACTTGGGTTAGTGTACTTGTGTTATGTATATATATGTTGTGTGTATATATGTGTTGTTATGTATGTAGCTTAGATGTAACCGACTTGGCCCAACGATGGACACTTGTCGACGGGTCTCTTGAGGGCTAAAGTCGGATAAAAATAATAATAATAATAATAAAAAAAAAGGTTAGGAGACTCTTCCTGATGACGGACCACCTAGACAGTAATCTTGAGGGAAGTAGTCTAATCAAAAAAGCCAAAAAGATTTTTTTTTATTTTCTTTTTAGGTAGTGTAGTAATTCCCCCTTGGTTTTTCTTTTGACCGCGGTTCTTTTCCAAGGGTTTTTCTTGAACCGGGTTAGGTAGATTTTTCTTTAATAGATTTTAGGACCCTTAGGACTTTTTTTTTGGGCTAAGATGGGTTGGGCAAGAATGCATCCCGTGGTGTACATACCTGCAAATACTTAAAACGAACTTGAGGGTGCGACGCCTAGGCTCATGTGTAGACTCTTAATCTTATGCCTTAATTTTGCACACCTTTTCTTGCTTGAACACTCATGTGAATGTGTTGACAAACTAATTTGGATTGAGTTATATGCCAAGTGTGTGTGAGGTTATACATGTATTCTATGCTTGCATGCGATACCTATAACTTGCCCAGTGTGTGTGCAAAGCGAAATAGAAGTTGTTTGGTCTTAGAGATGATTTAGGCATTTCTTTGTGTAGCCCATATAATCATTAATCCACCTGTACATATTACCATAGTTAACCCCTTTGAGCCTATAATCTTATTTTCTTTGGCAACCACATTACAAGCCTTACCCATTGGTTTGAATTAACCATCTATTTGAACCTTTTCACCTCTCATGAGCACTTGAATTGTTATGAACCTTGTAAAAGTTAAAGTGTGGGGTGGTTGGTTTGGCTTTTGAGTGGAACTAATGAAATAAGGAGAAAGGTGCCCTGTTTTGAAAAAGGAAGAGCCACTTGAATTGAAAAAAAAAATATATGTATATAAAATAATACCTCAATAAGTGGTGGCTCTTGATGCAAGTGTTCTTAAAGAAGAATGGGGTAATTACACTGATGTGAAGGTGGAACTTTGGGGTGACATAAGGATGGGGTTTAATTGATAAAATGTATGTATTAAAGTGCTTAGGGAGGTGTAGTCACTTTCATATCTAAATGTATCCTACCCGTCCTGTAGCCTACATTACAACCAAATGAAGCCCTATTGATCTTAGACTGAGCAATTCGATTAGTAGAGTATTACACTAAGGGCAAGCTTATGGTGTATCTGTGTGGCATATGAATGTTCTTTGCTGAGAGTGAGTGAATTCTTTCTATCTACAGTTCCTTGTTGTTTGATTTCATGTGTGTGGAACTTCTCTAAACAATGTGATGTGAGGGCATTTAACTCAGGAAGAAAAAACAAGTCTTCACTTTTGTTAGAGTACATAGAGTAAGCATGAGTGTGGCATGGCATTAGAGTCTTCATCTGAGGTGTGGCTGTTGCACTGCTTAGGTCGTTCTTTCATAATAGCAGGTGCGACATAAAAAGGGTAATGCATCAAACGATTAGGCCTAGAAGTGTGGTTCAACTTGCTCGAGGACGAGCAAAGATTTAAGTGTGGGGTGTTGATAATAGGTGAATTATACTATAATTGGACCCTAAAAGAACCACATTTTTGTATAGCTTTATGGTAAAAAGTGATAACCAAATGCTCTGATTAGTGTTTTTCATGCTTTGCATGCTATATCCAACTAATGAAGTCGATGGAGCAAGTTTGGGATCAATTACGGAGAAAAGGAGGCCAATCAAACAATGCCCACGAAATGCACCAAGTGAAGAGACAAAAGCAGAGCTAAACTTGGCCTGCCGCGGCCAGACCGTAATCGCGGTAGGACCGCGGCGGAGCAGAGCTGCAGATTCAGAGGACCTATTGGCCGCGGTCCTGGCGTAACCGCGGTGGGACCGCGACAGAACGCGAAAAAGCCAGGGACGAAAGTGTCAAGTCGGGAAAACTTGGTGTAAAACCCTTATAAAAAGTAGGAATTCGGCCATATTAGGGCAGATTTGTTTTGGAGAGTTCTTGGGCAAGAAACACAAGTGTGAGAGATCACCCAAAAACATCAGAGTTCTTTATTTCTTCTTTTTCTTGCAATTCTCCTTGAAGAATATTTTCATAGACTATCTTTACGTTGTTATGAGTAGCTAAAACCCATTATTCTGGGGTCATGGGTGAAACATGAAAGTTGTTGTTTGACGTTTAATTCAACGAAGTTGGTTTTTCAAATTGGATTGTTTATTTAATTCTGCTTTTAATTATTTTGCTGAGTAGCTAACAGTAAAATACTATCTACGAATTTAGAGTTGAACTCGAAAGTGGGAATTCTAGATTGCATATAGAATTAAATAGAGCAGGTTCTTGAACCCGGGCCTCGGGGAATGGATTCGCAATTGGGATAGACATATACCCAATTGCCCTGCTTGGTTGGAATACAAAAATTGTAAATGCGTTCTTGTTAATCTTAATTCCATAG